GTCACCCCATTACCCCATACTTACGCAGATATAATTCCACTGAAGTTAAGGGAATTACACCAATGTAAACCCCATGTAGCAGAGTGGAAAATCAGCCCCCTTTAGGTCACAGGCAACAAGATCCATCACTGGATTTCCACCAGCAATGCTCTAATTTCCCTCTCTCTCACCCCATTTGTTGGAGGTCATTATTACACTAAAGTGACCTGTCAGGACTGTTCAGCAAGTGGGGACAATTAAGGACCACAGTGTAAATGGTTACAGTGTGACAGTTCTAGTGGTAACCAGGACTGTGAATTACCTTGTTACCCCCTTCCGCTGGCGAGAAGGAATCTTTCTTATGGTAGCTGGCTCTATGTTGTTACTATTTTGCTAAACATTAAAAATGATGAGAGGCAACAGGAATATCCTAATGCTAGAAGAAACACGGAAATAAATGTGGATTCCTTTCCTGTACTCGTGGTGGCATGGAGCAATCAATGCCATGCACGTTACAATGAAGAATAAACAGGATTCACACTGTTGGAACGCAGTCAATTAAGAAAAATACTGATTGCATTCTGGAAATATTCCCATGGTGCCACACTGTATGTGGAGTTGGTGGGTAGGAGGAGTGAAGGTGTGATAATTAAAAGAATTGCTACTTGATAAGTCACAGGAGCTAATGTGTTAGCTTAGCATGCTGGGAAGCTAGAATGTTCCCAGCTGCTGTGAAGACGGAGTATAGTTTGATCCCTGGCACCATTACTTGGGACAAGATGAATCACGAATGCTCTAATAGTGAGTTTCCATGTCACAGTGTGCCAGATGGAGGTGGTTACTTCTCTGATTGATTGCCTCTTGGGCTACAAAGAGGTTTTCCAGCAGGCTAATGCCTTTATGTTGGCACACAACCTTCAGAGATCAGCAGGTCCTTCTTTGGTCAATACCACATTGGAATCCTTGCATAGCAATAGTGTGGCTCCCCTAATGGGGAAAGGCATTGAGGAGTAAAGAAGAAAGAAGTGGGAGTGAACGAATACAATATTGTACAAAAATAAACCTCAGTTCCCTTGCATCCATAATAGACGTTGTTGCAAATGAATCTTCAGACACGTGCTGAGTTAACGGGCATGAACAACACCGAAACATCCTCTAGTTAAACCCAGTACTTTACAAAGGCTAATTGAAAACGGAAAGAACGATGGGGGGTAGAGAGCGAGAACAGCTCTATTGTCAAGTATCGAATATGAAATCCCTGCAACAGATGAGTTTACATGCAAGCCTGCACCTCATCAGGGCAAAGATACAGTGGAGTTATTTCCCTCAGAACACAACAGCACCAGTCCCTTGCACTGCCCAGCCAGCTCTCTCAACTGTGAGCTTTAGAATATAAACAGCCAATAAGTAAGAGCAATAACTATAGCTTCCTGCTGGGAGCTAACTCTGCCTGTCATGAATTTGCTGGGTCCTAATACAGGACAGTGAATAAAGCTTCATTACAGAACAATGGAGTTAGCTGCCAGAGCCTACAGATTTGAATAAACAACAAATAAGCAACATCTGCTCCAGCATATGTGTATGGTAAAAAAAAAAAAAGTCACAAAATAAAAGAATTTGTAAATGCCAAAAGCAACACTAAACTGCCAGTGCTACTGTAGAGCGAATTTTTAATTGCACATGCATACAGGCAGGCTGTGGGTATTAGTCTCACATATGTCTGGTTGCTGCCAACCTGGGAGTATAGATGAATTTAATTAAATAAGGATTATCCCTTCTCCCCAGTACAATTACTTATTTATAACAATGATAAAATTGCCTAATAAAAAATTGTATTTTTTTTTTTTAAAACAGAGCTAGAAAACACTGTTTTCCTTGTAAGGCATTCAGGGATGTTTGGGGGTTTGAGTGTCTTTTAAAATTAAGTCTCAGCATTCTGCCAGAAGAGAAAAGAAGAAGAAAAAAAGCCTTATCATAAAGCCTGCTGCATTTAAGCAGCCAAAATCTACATTATGGAGAAATATAAAGAAGGCGCGCAGCAGACAGGGAATTGGCTTTCCTAGGGAGTGTAGAAAATTAAGCAATTGGACTAAAATTGAGGCCAGGCTACAGAACCAAGGGAAAAGACCATTTAGGGCAAGTACTTCAATAAATCACCCATTTCTAATATGCTCCATTTATGGAAAATACTCTGTTGCTAGTTAGCCCTACTTCTTCAGCACCTAGCACTACATCCAGAGGTAATGGAGTGGAACAGCTTCCATTCCATCCCTATTTTCAGATGCTTGTAACTTACATTTCTTACAATAGATCCTGCTGGCCAACTGAGAAAGAGGTCCCATTGTGCTAGTTACTGTACAAACACAGTAACAGACAGTCCCTGCCCCCAGAGAGATTACAGTCTACATTAACATTCACTTTTGGGGCTAATGTTTTCCATAATTAGGTTCCTATTTGGAAAAGCACTTCAGCATGTGGCTTTAACCATGTGCCTAAGTCTATCCCTGTCCTGGAATGCACTTAAGGACATACTTAACTTTAAATACATGTTTAAGTTCATCACTATTCAATTTAAGTTAAGCATGTACTTAAGTGCTTTGCTGAATTGGGGCCTTAAGGTTAGATCCACAAAAGGGACTTAGATTCAGTGGTACAATGTTCTAGGTACTTTGCCCCCAGTGGAATCCACAGTTCTGAGTTAGGTACCTAAATACATTAGAGGATCTGGCCCTACATTGTCTTCTTTGAAATTAAGACAAGTATCAATAATACCATAACAACAGAGAAAAACCAGAATTTAAATCACATGCTGAAATAACATTTTGGAACTACACCTTGTGTCACAGACATTAGTACAGGTGTAGGCAACCTATGGCATGCGTGCTGAAGGCGGCACACGAGCTGATTTTCAGTGGCACTCACACTGCCTGGGTCCTGGCCACCAGTCTGGGGGGCTCTGCATTTTAATTTAATTTTAAATGAAGCTTCTTAAACATTTTAAAAGCCTTATTTACTTTACATACAACAATAGTTTAGTTATATATTATAGACTTATAGAAAGAGACCTTCTAAAAAATGTTAAAATGTATTACTGGCACACGAAACCTTAAATTAGAGTGAATAAATGAAGACTCGGCACACCGCTTCTGAAAGGTTGCCGACCCCTCCTTAGTACAATACTTGTACTATTTACTTATATGATATTGGTTGGCCATTTAACTGGATGACAAAGCACTGCTGTCAGTATAGGCAAAGTAATCACATTCTACATACTGTACCATGAAATCTCGACTAAGACCATGCTTATTTCTGTGTTTTAGGCCAGAATGCAGGGTACCTAGTGAGAAGAGTATAATTATGTGATCTGCAGAAATTAATACTATTTGTCATTACATGGTACAGTAATTCACTGGAGCTGGACAAATAGTAAGAAACTCTATTTGTGAGCATTTTAGCAAATCCTGAATTGGTTTGGCTGTGGTCACTCTCTGTGAATACTTGTGCAAATGAGGTTTTCTTTGCACAAATGTTGGGGAATGACTGTTCTTTGTGTGAATACCAGTATGCAGATTATTTGTGCATTGGTGTGGGAGCATGTCTCTATTTATAAAGTTTCAGTTGTGATTCAGGAAGCAGAAACAAAACAATACCATGTAACTGAGGTGATTAATACACCATGAATAGCAAACAGGAGGACCTTATCCAAAGCTCAGTGAAGTCAATGAGAGTATGTATACACTGCAATAAAAACACCTGTTGCTGGCCTGTGTCAGCTGACTAGGGCTCAGAGGCCTTGGCCTGCGGGGTTGTTTAATTAGCGGTTAGACATTTAGACTCAGGCTGGTCATTGGAGAGTCCCAGAGTCCAGGCTCCATCCTGAACCTGAATGTCTACACTGCAATTTTTTAGCCCCACAAGCTTTGGTCAGCTGACACGGGCCATTGCGGGTGTTTTATTGCAGTGTCGACATACCCTTGAGAGTCTTTCCATTGATATCAATGGGCTTTGGATCAGGCCCATCGTGAAAAGCCAAAGACAGGACCAAAATGAACAATCCGTAAGCTGAAATACACCCACATACAGTGTTTATTGAACGATTACGTATAACTAACACACCATTCAAACAAAAACCTGCTCACAGATCATTTGGAAACAGAAAGAAAGAAAGGCTGTCGGATAAATTATTCACTGCAAATAGTTTGATCAGCTCTAGCATTTACTAAGTGAAGCTTATGCACTTGAGGTGAACTCCTGGCCTCACTGCAGTCAACGGGACTTGTGCTATTGACTACACTGCCACCAAGATGTCACCCTTGGAGATGTCAACTCTTGGGTAAATCAATGGGATGTACGGATGATTTGCATCTATGGATATCAGGCCACTTATTTATGTGACTAAATATGGATTTGCATTTAAATCATCAATATCATTCTATTATGATATGGTAAGGCCCACCAGGATTTCTCCCTTTATTCCTTGCTGTCTGTTCCTTGCCACTCTCAAGCTCAATCACATAATGACTCTCCCTTGCTCTGGAGTTTGTCACTGCTGCTTTGAATACAACTAGAGGGAGGAACCCTGCTAGACATTCCCTGTTCTGGAGACTGAACAGCCTGCTTCTCCAGTACTTCCCATCCATCTCTCTAGCAGGAAGAACTCAGGACTCAAACTCAGGTCCTCCCACAGGATGTCAAGACACACTTCCACTTTACGTCGGTCCAGCAGTTTGTGCTTTAACCCTTTAAGCACTTAACACAGGCCCCAGCCTGGCAATGAGTTGTGTATGAGCAGATCTCTAGGCACACACACATATAGCCCCTTTGACTTGGTGTGCGTACTTGCAAGTCACATTATTTTATTACGCGGAATGCTCATTTGGTTGGCACATTTATAGTTGTGCATCCAAACTGCATAGATGGTAGGAGCAGCTAGAGAATGCTTTCTGCAAGAGATGAGAAATTAGAAAAAATACACAGCAAAATTAATTTTTTTTAAAGCTAAATTTTTTCTTAATACCTACCTGAAGTGCTGTCATGAAGATTTCCCCCTGGAGGTTCATCCTCAAAGCTCTGGATCTGAGACAAAAATAACAAACAAAAGCAAAACCAGCTTATTTATTATTACAAGTGTATTTCCCCTTTTAGAATTAAGAATTTCCAACTGAAATATTGTTAAGTCTTCTTTTGGTGGCTCTTGTTTTTATTACTGTTTAGTATTTTAAGCCAGGATCTAGTCCTGGTCACCCTCCAACTCCCATATTTAACTATCAATGCACAAAAGCCCCCTACGCCTATACTATACATTCAAGCTCTTGCCACTGAACTGGCTCAAACAAATGCCCCTCAGAAAATGTGCCTTTATTAGCATAAATCAGACTCTGGGGCGCAATTCTTGCAATGAGGTGTAAGGAAGGGCAGGATTTTGCTCAGAGAATGTATTTAGAGAAGCACCCAAACCTCCCGCATAGGGATTGGTGCCTCCATTGTGCTAGATGCTCTTCAAAATGTATGCAGCTAGTTCGGACCTTTTAATCCACTGTGCTGAACCACACCACCTCAGAGAGGTACAATAGTGTTTCATGTGTTTCTCTGCAAGCTTGGATGGGGGAGGACAGCACCACGACCCCAGCCTTGCAGTCAGAGCTTAGCATTTTTCTTAGCCACTGTAGGACATATAGGTAAATGTAGGCTGGGACAAAACTCTTGTAGCAAAAGAAAAACTTGAAACAGGACTCGGATGAACGAGCCTCCTCTCCATGGATCCAGAATCCCACCTCCCCAAGATGACCCTTGAAAGTGGAAACCTTCCTTAATCTGCTGCCATCTTCTACGGAGGACGCATGCCATCTCTCTCTCTCTCAAATTCCAAATGTCTGTAGTGGGTTGCTGGCTGTTTCCTCTCCCCATTTCCTTGGTTCTTCAGGGAGACCCTAATTGTTGGTCTCCTTCCCCTATCCTTAGTCTTTGGGTGGCTGGAAAGATAAGCCTGCTCCTCTGTGCATCCTATTAGAATTGCCAGTATGGGGCAGTAGCCTTTCTGGACCTCTTTCTGCAGCAATGGGACCAGACACACTCCAGCTGATCCCACTGTTGCAACTGCACACTGTTCTTATATAAGACTAGGATTGACAAACATTCCAGGTTATGCTGCACCACACTGACCCTGATCTGCTGCCCATTGCTCCTAAAATGTATTGACAGCAGAACATCAGGGACTAGAGCCATGCCATGGAATGTGGATCAGAGGACAAGCTATTGCTTTGAATGAGCTTGTTTTTAGGACACAGAGCTTAAAGAACAACTGCTGGAAAGCACGTTGGCATTTTATACTACAGTACTTGTTGACACCATTGATTTTTTGTGTGAAACACCTGTGCCAAATTTTTTGACAGTAGTTTTAACCTAAATTGAAAATCTTAAACAGTCTATAACACACAGAGAAAGGGGTCTGGCTTCTCTCCCTGGTGCGGGGATATGATGTTTGAAAACATTATACTTTAGCTCTCATCCTGGACCAGAGAAGCCAGATCTACACTTGTATTTACCATCTGTACATGCACATGGTCCTTATACAGTACATTGAAATCTGCCTTACCTCTTCCATTTCAAATGAATCTGGAGGCTTGCCCTTTAGACCAGACACCCTTCTGAGTGTGTGGGTCAAGAGCAAATTGGACTCTTTCCTTGGTCTGTCTTTGACAGCCATCTCCGATGCAGAAGGAAGCTGGGGCTGCTTTATAGGTATATATGAATAAACCTGAGATTTCCCGGTTGGAGCCTGTGGCAGCTGTGATAATGTCAGTGCATCATCCTCAGTGGAAGAATGTTCCTCTGTCAGACCCACCAAGGTATTATTTTCAGAAAAGCCTGTCCTGATTGCTGTGCGCCGGTCCATCTCAGCATAGGTGGGAGACTGTTCTTCTCTATCCTTGAATGACTCTGAACTTCCAGAAGCCCGAGCGCTCCTTTGCAGTACTGTTGCTTGTCTAGAAGCTTTTCTCAGAAGATGACCTAGCCTTCTCCGCTTGGCTCGTGTGGCCTCGGCTTTGTTCCTCTCAATGTCCGTCATGCTCTTTTCTTCCCCATTACTCTGCTCTGATTTCTGTTGCTGGGTGTTAACACCATTCAGCAAAGAGGAGAAGGCACTAGTCACATGATCCAAGACTTCCAGTTGTCGAAAACGCCCTTGAGTTTGATGGAAAGGGATGAAAAGACCCATTGTTAAAACAGAAAAGAATAATGCGGTCATGACCTAAACTAACGCTATCAGGTTACACACAGTTGTCAAGATGGTTCAGCCTTTCCCCTCTGCTTTTCTTCAGAGAGGCTGGGAATTCTTCAAATAACAGGCTGCTTTGGGAAATGCATGCTAGGGCTTCTCCAGATCCCTTTATTATGGATTCTTTTTTATCCATATTTTAAAGGCCAAATTTTGAAGAGTGGTTTCCAAAGTTCTGCAACCAAAATTTGCAGGGCGTACAGAGAGAGATGCATGAATATGGCTTTGGGAGCCTAACTTGAGACTCAAAGATTCAGCAAAGAATTTAAACGTGCTTAAACTGAACTTTAAAGAGCGTTTTCTGAGCTACACTATGGGCCCTATACTCCATGCTGGCAGTTAACACGGACTTAAAAGGCCCTTAGTGTAAATGAGAATCACTCCCTAAATGTTTTGTTGAAAAGGGATGGATTTAGGTGCTTAAAGATAAACATGTGCTTAAGTGCTTTGCTAAATTGGGGCCATGCATGTTACATGTATGTGAATTAAGATGAATCGTATATTTGAAACAATTGACTACCTTCTGGAGCATAATTAATTTTAAAACTTTTCACTGTTAATGAACACATTAAGGGCCTGATCCAAAGTTCACTGAAGTCAACCAGTCTTTCCATTGACTTCAAATGGGTTTAGGATCAGGGTTATAATGGCTTGATTGTGCAACTCTTAAATCAGGTAGTACTTATAGAAACAGTTTCATTGAGTTCATTGGATCTACTTGTGTTAATACTACTCAGCATAAGTAAGCACTGCAGAATCAAGCCTCAAGTTCTCAAATACCATAAGCCAGATCTGATTCCAGTATTAAGACTGAATAGCGATTTGTACTATGAGTCACCCCACTGAGCTCAATTGGTCCACTCAGAGTACGGTGCTACTCACTGTGAATAAAGGTATCAGATCAGTTCTCAAATATTTACAGTTGGCTGTCATCCAAGACTTCTGTAAATGTATAAACCCTTTAGCTGGTAGTGATTAAGTACTGTAATTTATTTCAATAAATAGTTCACTGTATTAACCAATACAACCCCTAAAGGCTCTGTTCTTGTTTTCAGAGCAACAGAAAACAAGAAGTGCATTGTCCTCCACAGACACAGAAGAATGCACACACAGAAGTTTCATAAGGTTCCCACAGCTTGTTAAGCTTATTAAGTCTCTGTAATTTGCTGGCGAATATTATTCCACAGCATAACAGCTAAAGGGAAATGTTTTAATTTTTCATCTGTTTTACAAAAAAAATAAAAAATAACCAAAGAATTTTGGAGTTTTCCATTATTGTAAAATGTTGTCAGGTTATTGATAAAAGGAGTTACAACACATCTTCCTGTATATTGTGCCCCAAACCCTTCCTGAGGCAATGAAAATGTCAAAAGGGCTCCTGATTCCTTGAGAAATTCACTAAGGAGAATAGATGGCAAAGTTCTAACATTCTTGGCTTCCGGTTCTCCTAGTGAGCAGCCAAATTTATTGCATATATTCTGCGTGCAGACTGTTGAAGCCGCTTCACTGATGATTACACAACAAGGGGATATTTAACATAGATCTGAGCTGGGCCTGTGCATGAGGACCAGTATCATGACATATAATTCCTGACTGTTACCATTTCTCTCTAAGACTCATGTTTTTCCAAACACTGCCTGATTTTTAACTTCAGAAGAGGATTTTGCCATCCCAAAGTCTTTTTAAGGACGATGACAAAGCTCTCACTCGCTCTGGTTAAAAACTAGTAATTGGATCTACCAGTAAACAGAGTACAGAGTGGTATTTTGTGATATAAAGGTTTTATTGGCATGAGTTTGGGATGATGGTATGAGTCATTCATGGCTTTGCATATCAATGATGCCATCACATATTCCCCGAATAAAACATATATCCTCAGTATTGTACATTGTTAGGCTGTTAACCGTGTCAGGATGTAAAAATGCCAACTTCTAATCTCCTCTGAATTATTAGTGACAGAATGGTCTAACGTTTCTAATTTAAATCAGAACCACCTTTTATAGTTTGATATAGACTGCAAAAGCAAAACAACATGTCAAAAACAACCTCAGTTTCTGACAGCTAATGAATGAATCAAATGATGAGGAAAAAGAGAAGCAAACAATAATTCACGAATTGTGAATGTAATCAATGCACAATCTAATCCATCCCTCGTGTAACTGCACCGATTTCAACCAAGTCACTGGAGGAACTACATCAGGCTAACATTGCTTCATTGCTTGATCCTCCCATGCAGGCCGCCCCATTGATTTCAGTGGGATCGCTCCCAGGAGTAATGTTTAAACATGTGAGTAAGATGAGCAGGTCTGAATTTAGCCCACATTACTTACAGAGCTTTTAGCTCTTTTCCTAAATACTAAGGACCCAACTCTGCCAATCCTTACTCACTCAAGTAATCCTTGCCCATGCATGCAATCCCACTGAAGACAATTAGACTACTCATGTGAATCAGGGCCTATTCACATTATAGCTGTGAGATCCTGATAACAGTACAGTTATCCTCACAGCCATTTACAACACAGCTGAAATCTGTAATATAGATGAGACCAAGTCAGGGGTAGTCATTAGGCGGACTGCGGGCCAAATCCAGACCACCAGATGCTTTTTGAATTAACCTCGAAATCTTTTTATTTACTACTTATCATTATTGTTATTGTTTTCTTATTATTTTCTCTGGAGCCTGGACCTTGACTATACCTTGACCAAGAAATTTAGACCTTGACAAAAAAATAATGGACTACCCCTGCCTTAAGGAATAGAGATGAGACACCAGAATTTGCAGTTGTGTTGTAATTGTCTCAGGATAATTATGTTGCAAACAAGCCCACTGACTCAGTTATATTGCATGTGTAATTTGGGCAGTGTCTAAGAATTTGTAAGGTCGGGTCTTAAATAGCTGAGAGGAAAAAAAAACACATTTTAATTGATCTTTACCTAAGTCCCAAGGTAAATTGTCTAGAAGACTGTGCTATAAGGATTTCGAATCTCATAAGTGGCCATCACGGAAATGAATAAGGGGCCTTTGGCGTTTTTAGTGGTGACTGGAAATTTTCCAACAAAATGTTTTTTAAATGGAACATGCGGTTTCTGCAAAAATATTTCCATTAAAAAAAATTAAGCAAAATCTAAATTTTTATTTACCCTTTTGAAAATCAAAATGAAATATTTAATTTTGGTTCATGTCATCTTGGTTTGTCGAACTGAAATGCTTCATTTCAGATCAGCTCTACAATGATGCATTGCAGTCTCCCCTGATTGAACTGCTATGATGGATCATGGGAGTCATAAGACAACAGTATATCTGAGAGATGTAGTCTGGCTGGGGACTCCAGCCCATAAAAAAGAATGGGTGCATGAGGCACCCAAACTACAACTCCCATGAGGCACCACGGAAGCTCAGGAGGACACAGATGAGTGTTAAAATGAAAGGAAATTTTTTAGATTTGTGAATGTTGAAATTTTTTTTTTTGGATCAAATTAGGCCTGTTGATTAATGGCAATTAACTCACGCAACTAACTCAAAAAAAGTAATTGCGATTAAAAACATTAATCGTCATTAATCACAGTTTTAATCACACTGTTAAACAATAGAATACCAACTGAAATTTATTAAATATTTTGGATGTTTTTCTACATTTTCATATATATTGTATTCTGTGTTGTAATTGAAATCAAAGTGTATATTATTTTTATTACAAATATTTGCACTGCAAAAATGATAAACAAAAGAAATAGTATTTTTCAATTCACCTCATACAAGTATTGTAGTGCAATCTCTTTATCGTGAAAGTGCAACTTACAAATGTGGCTTTTTTTGTTACATAACTGTACTCAAAAACAAAACAATGTAAAACTTCAGAGCCTACAAGTCTACTCAATCCTACTTCTTGTTCAGCCAATTGCTAAAACAAACAAGTTAGTTTACATTTACAGGAGATAAAGGTTTAAGAATCTGAACTGCGTTCCAAAATATGAGAGGGATGCGATATGGAGCATGCTTTCAGAAGTCTTAGAAAAACAACACTCCAATGCAGAAACTACAGAACCTGAACCACCAAAAAAGAAAATCAACCTTCTGCTGGTGGCATCTGACTCAGATAATGAAAGTGAACATGCGTCGGTCCGCATCATCAGTATGGACGCATGTCCCCTGGAATGGTGGTTGAAGCATGAAGGGACATATGAATCTTTAGTGCAATTGGCACATAAATATCTTGCAACGCTGGCTACAACAGTGCCGCGAGAATGCCTGTTCTCACTTTCAGGTGACATCGTAAACAAGAAGCGGGCAGCATTACCTCCTGCAAACGTAAACAAACTTGTTTGTCTGAACCATTGGCTGAACAAGAAGTAGGACTGAGTGGACTTGCAGGCTCTAAAATTTTACATTGTTTTATTTTTGAATGCAGGTATTTTTGTACATAATTCTACATTTGTAAGTTCAACTTTCATGATAAAGAGATTGCACTACAAGACTTGTATTAGGTGAATTGAAAAATACTATTTCTTTTGTTTTTTTACAGTGCAAATATTTGTAATAAAAATAACTATAAAGTGAGCACTGTACACTTTGTATTCTGTGTTGTAATTGAAATCAATATATTTGAAAATGTAGAAAACATCCAATATTTTAAAAATAAATGGTATTCTATTATTGTTTAACAGTGCGATTAATCGCACGATTAATCACGATTAATTTTTTTAATTGCTTGACAGCCCTCGATCAAATATGTTGAAATGAAATGTTTTGACCTTTCTGAATCCTAATTTTTTGAACTTTCCATCTCACAAAAAATATTGACATTAACAAATTTTGGTGTTTTGTGATTTTCCCTGGGACAGAAATTCTAATATTTGAACAGCTCTAGGAATTTAAAACAAAACAGAAACTGATGATGGATCTTAACACATATGCCCTCCTTCTCTTTAAGCAACCTTTCCTCTGTTCCAGTGAGTCACACAATCAATATATTGCACTCTGGATTTTATAGTCAAAATATTAAACTATCTTTCAGGGATAGTTAGAAGAGCTTCAGAAATGCAGTATTTAACATATGCAGAATATGATACAGAATAACTTGGGGAACCTCCAGATTGATGATCCATGAGTACAAACTATAAAGTTTCTCAAATCAGACATGCACAGAGAATCAAAACGGAGGAAGAGGAAAACAGATGGGAAATGGAGTGAGTGAGAAAGGAGAGAAATTCGACTGACATGTTTTTCTTCTTCTAAAGACTTGTGTTTTCTGGCTATTCATTCCCAGCAAAGTCCTTTCCCATCTGAGGATGACTGGAACTAGCTAGATTTTCTAAAGAGTTCAGCTCCTATTTAGACACCACAATAAGTAGCTAGATTTTCAAAACAGCTCAGCATTTTTGGTGCTTAGTTCTTATAAAAATCTGGCCATCTGTGTCACAATGGGAGCTGCTGAGCTATTCTGAAAAATCAGAGCTGAAACCTTGGCTCCATTGAAGTGAATGGGAGTTTGGCCATTGATTTAGATGGAGCCAGGATTTCACCTCTGGCTTTTATTTAGATGCCCAAAGGATTGCTGAGCTCTTGAAAATCTGGCTCAGTGACTATACAGAAAAATCAATTACTACCAATCAAACAGAAGCATCAACAAATAATAACCAACTGAGCAGCAAATGCATTTGAAAAGGTCAGATCAGCAATTAAACTGATCTAGAAACCCAGGAAAATAATAAATCTAACTTTACTGAGGAAGCCAAACCCACAGTTTGTTCTCCCACCAACAGGGAAACCCAAATAGAAAAGACTTCACTGGGAAATTAATAACTGGGAGATTTAAAAAAAAACCAACAAACCCTAGAGAGACCACTATGCCTAGTCAGACAACAAATCTCTTCCTCCTCTGTCATCCACTCCTTTTCTCTCTTCCAAGCTAGATCTTAATCCTTTGCTCTTTTGTTCTGATCTCTTTTCCTCTTCTCCTTCACTCTTTCACTTTTCTTCTCCTCCTTTAATCTGCCCTTCCTCCTCACTCACTCCTTTCACTCATTGATTTTCTTCTTTCCCTCTCCTCTCCTCCATCTGGGGAGTTCTCTTGCTCACACACCAATCTTGTTGATGTGTGGGTTTGCTGTAAACATTTAGATGGGCACACGGGTCTATGAAACATTTTCTGTAAGGGTAGACATTTCTGTTGCATTTCTCATTCGATAATGTACGGCTTACTTGATTAAGTTTCTGAATAGGAAGGCAGCCAACATGTATGAGATCCTGCCTCAATGAGCATCTCATGAGCAAACTGAAGTTCTTGAGGTCATCTGGCTATCATTGTGCAGCAGACAGGAGTGGAAGCTGTGCAAGAATAAGAATTGCAGACTTGGGAAGTGTAGTCCAGATTTAAAAAAAAATGGAAGGGGTGTCTGAGCAACAGGAGGAGGAAGGGAATGGTGTGATCAGTTGTGTGTAGCATATGTACTGAATAAAGTTGGTAGAAAAAAGGAGGGCAGTGTGAAAAAAATCCCCCTTTCCTTTGAAAAAATCAAAATCTGTAATTTCAAAATTTGAAAAATGTCAACCAGTTCTAATGTTGAGCCTGAAGAACAGATCCTCACTGCTCTGCTAGTGGCAGGGTGTAGTTCTGGGAGGGTGTTGGAAGAAGATGGATTGCAGTATCTTGACACCACAGAGCATTCCTAATTGCATGAGAAAGGGCAGCAAGACAAGAATGAGTTAAGATAAGTGACGTAGTGAAGTGATCTATCTATCTCTGGTATTTATGGGACACAAAACACCAGTTACTTGAATTATACTAAGAAACATGGGTCCAGATTTTGGTAGCTTTACTCATGGTAGATACTTTAACACTTCTTCATATGTAACTCCTTTGGCTTCAGTGGGACTATTATCCGAGTTAGGTAGTCTTCAGCATAAATATGGGGGAATTTGTATTAGAAATTGGAACATAGAGATTACAAGGTGTGCTCATAATCCTAAAATCCTGTCTATACTAAAGAGTAATTGATTGTAAGGTCAGAAGGGAACATTATGATCATCTAGTCTGAATTCCTGCAAAAGACAAGCCTGTGAATTTCATCAAGTAATTTCTGCATCAAGACCATAACTTCAATTTGAGCTAGAACATATTTTTTAGAAAGACCCTTCAATCTTCATTTAAAGACTTCAAAATACCACATCGGTAGGTAGATTGTTGAAATCGTCTCTTCCACATCTCATCTTCCACATATGTACCTTTAGACTGTGATCAAACCACCTCTTAACCTGCTCTTTGATTAGTTACATGGATTGATCTTCTTAAGTTTCTCACTCTAAACCAGGTTTTCCAGTCCTCAAATTATTCTTATTGCTCTTTTCTGAATCCTTTCACATTTTCAATATCCTTGGAAGATAGAACAACACTAGGTGCAAATATGTTAAAACACTGATTGTCCAAATATGTGTCTCCCAGACCTATGCTTAAAAACAAAAAAAATCTCTAACATGGCTTTATCATGGTTCTCCTTTGGTGTAAAGAACTTGTCTGTGAAGTGCACGGTGTATTGTTGATTCTATATAAGTAATAAATGCAATTTAAAAAATAACAGCCCAGATAGCAAATTTTAACATAGTTGTAGATGATATTACATCTTAGGGCCTGTTTACCCTATAAAAACAGTTACGTTAGAAGACCTGGTTAGATACATTTAAAAAATTATAATTGTATTAACCATGTCAGGAAGAAGTTATGCTGTAAGTTTGCAGAACTGTGTTTATGTCCCCCGAATATGGTCCCAGGTCTCATTAATTTTCCCTGTCAAGGTCCTCTCCCTACCTCCACAACCCCCACTTTATTTGCTGTTGTTGCATCTCTGACGAACACTTACCATATAAATTGGGATTCTCAATGTCCATACGCTGCTTTTGAGCTTCCAGAAAGACTCGGATGTTGATTCCTTTTGCTACTGAAGCATTACTGATGAATCGAGAAGGGATTTTAGTGCAAATGTCAGGTTCTTCTGTTCCAAACCCCAAATCCAGCAGAATCTCAACTGGATCCTTTTCCCAGAGCTCCAACCATTCAGTGATACTGTGGATAAAACAAAGACAATTCATATCACTGTCCTGACATTACCCTTCTTTTTGTTTAGCTATTACATGGTTTTGCCTTTGCTCAGAAATTTTATTTCCTTCCTCCATCTCACTCTCCCCACACTACTCCATTAGTGGTAGTTATATTCTTACAGTTCAGAGGCACATGATTTTTTCTCCCAGGGATGCATTAGACTGGAAAGATAAGGCAGATCTAGAGTACTCAGCAAGAGGAACATATGTAGAAGTTGATATTCCTATAGATTGAAATCCTCTTTCTATCCTTGATAGAATAGATAAGACAAATGCTACAGCAATTCAGCCTTCCTCACATTGCCTTACAAACATGCCTCAATACTCACCTCTGATGTCAATGGAAAGCTTTGTATCAGGTGCCTACTAATCAGTGGAGGGCCATTTTGTTCTCATTGAAGTGAATGAGAGAACTCCCATTAACTTCAATGGGAACAGGATTGGGTGTCATGTATCTTTATTCTTTACACTCCATTTATTGGGTTTTTAATCCTCATATATTTGTCAGTCTCTAAATGGGACTAATCCCTATCGCTTTGGATTGAAAGTATCTGGAAACTACTAACCTTTTCGGTGCACTAGGAAGAGAATGGGACGAGTTGAAACTGTTCCATCTTGACATAAGAGGAGTTTCTGAAAACTGACGCAGAGATCTACAGGAGTTGGAAAAAGTAACAATGAAGTGTGTTTACTCTTGGGGTCCTTTGGGATGTCATTATGATTTTTTTCCAGAGTAAACATTTGCATTTTGTCTTAGTTTATAATGATACATAATATCAAGGCCGTAGAAGAAGAGCATGTATGATACTATGGCAATACACTTATTCTCAAGAACAGTATGTTACAGTAGGTGTTAGAATGTAGGTGTTAGGTACCAGTAAATGCTAATTATAAAGGTGGCAGAATGTCTCGCTTTTGACAGATGGTGAATCTTTGGGGAACCTTTAGGGAGCACAGTTTCTCTAGCCACCTACTTCTAAAGGATATAATTGCTGTTAACAAAGTTTCAGATAGAATAGGCTCACTAAGTAGCAACAGCAGAAACTACATTTCAAATTACATCTCAGTTCTTTACATAGTTAAGGTTTCTGACTGTATTTGTAAAGAATAATCTGGATAATAATGCTTGTTTTTAAGGAGCTATTCATTGTAGAATGAACATTCTGTAATCTGGTAGTCTTTTTCTAAGGCACAAATTTAATGCTTCTGTAATAGATGGACTTCGTTTTACTCACATGTACCTAAGGTGATTAGGTTTATTAATATAGTTATGGATGAAAAGTTTGGTCCATTCTCTATCCTTCCAAGCTGCCCCACAAGATACAGCTTAAACAAGATTTAAATTTTGCTTATGTCTTGTACTAACGTACTAATGTTAAAAAAAACAAAACAACTACACCTCTACACCGATATAATGCTGTCCTCAGAAGCAAAAAATCGTACTGTGTTATAGGTGAAACCGCGTTATATCGAACTTGCTTTGATCCGCCGTAGTGCGCAGCCCCTCCCCCTCCCGGAGCACTGCTTTACCGCGTTATATGCGAATTCGTGTTATATTGGGTCACGTTATATCGGGGTAGAGGTGTATCTACAGAAAAAACTTTGTGGTTTCTTTGAAAATATTAAATATAAAATTCCTTCCTTTATATCTAATATAGCCATGCATTGTCTGAAACCTACCTCATATAGCTTTGCACAGTCATTTGCACCATTCCTGGGTTAGCCAAGGAAACTGCAAATAAAAAAATACATTTATATTAGTATTCCTAATGCCTCTCAGGACAGAAATGTTGTCAAACTAGAACAAACGTAAGATTTATTTTATTGCATGACCATGTTATTTTAGCAAAAGCAGCAAATATGTGAAAACTTTAACTTCATTGTCACACAGATGTGAGATAGGAACCCACAGAGCATGTTAGCCACTTCCTTCAGTGGTAAGGAAAATAGATAACATAAGAACGGCCATACTGGATCAGACCAAATGTCCATCTAGCCCAGGATACTGTCTTCCAGCAGTGGCCAATGCCAGGTGCTTCAGAGGAAATGAACAGAACAGGTAATCACCAAGTGATCCATCCCCTGTTGCCCATTCCCAACTTCTTGCAAACAGAGGCTAGGGACACCATCCCTGCCCATGTTGGCTAATAGTCATTGATGGACCTATTCTCCATGAACTTATCTAGTTCTTTTTTGAACCCTGTTATAGTCTTAGCCTTCACAACATCCTCTGGCAAAGAGTTCCACAGGTTGACTGTTGAGATGTTTTTGGATGTGGTGCACCATTAACAGTATATACCAAACTCCTTATATTTATGTGGAACAATTCTTAAATGAGTTTCCTTTTTTGTTGTAAAGATTCTGATCCCCAAGCTTTGTTGAAGTTTTGATTTTCACCTGAATCAGGAGGGCTAAATTTTCATAGGGATAAGAATCTCCACAACGGGGGTTATACTAGCATAACTATATCTATTTAAATTCACACTTTATCTTATACTGGTATAACTTTCCAGTGTAGACAATCTCGTAACATCAGATCCAATGCCCAGTGAAGTCAATGGAAGTCTTTCCATTGACTCCACTAGGTTTTGGATCAAATCTGTAATGTGTTTGGGGTTAAAACAGTCACAGAGCAGCTGAAATAGTTTTTGTTAGAGAAATAGTCTGGCTATGAACTGGAAGTATTGAACACTGGTTACTGGAGTTCCAGGGTGCTACAGTTAGAAGTTATAAGCTACACTTTGTTTATACCATCTAATAACCTTGCTCACTACTGTAAATAAGTGAGATTAGGATACAGTGTGCTGTGTCAGTATAACTCATTGCTCCTCCCAACAATGAAATAACACACTCATGGATTCGAAATCTTCCTTGCTGCTTGGAAGTTGGGGCAGAATATTTTCCTGTGGTTAACAATAGATGTCGTTCTGTGGCACATGCCAATATCTTTTTACCTCTTTTCTTGAGATTTAAATATTTGCTTTCTATTAACAAAGCTTTGTCTACAAAGAAAGGAAAAAGCATCCTCATGTTCTCTACTGGATTACTTTCCTGCTCATAAATCCTAACACAAATACTTGTGGTTTACTCGCTACAAAGATAACCAACAAAATTATGAACAGAAAGGATGTTGGCATTCTGTAATTGCTATGGCAACATAAACCAGAACCTCTAATAGCAAACTCTGTGCTCCATTTGCACAAGAATCTGCTACTTGTCTCATGACACAACGTATACTCTTTTCCGGTTTCATGCACTCAAAAGCTGGAGATGCACTATAAAAATGCTGGGTGCCTGTCAAAGGCAAAAGAAAAAAAAATGTGGGAAGTTATTAGAATTCTTCCTTGATAGGGCTTGCCAATTTTTCCTTCCAAAAGAACTTGATGCCCTGCCAACAGAAATTTAACATTATAGTAAACTCCTCAATAGTGTGTGTTACTGGGATTGAAACAAACACATGCACCACCAATGTAAAAATACAGCACTGTGGAAGCTGCTGCTGCGTGTTAATTTGAAATGGTCGTAGCTTTCAGTGTTTTGAGTAGCCATAAAACATAACTAGTCTGTCAGCAATAGGCTTAGACACAACATAGAACCATTTATCTTTGCATCTGAGGGTACCTGCTGAGTAGACTTTCATCCATAGGTGAGCTCTCCACTTCCCTTTCCTTCTTGAGCCTCAATCAGAAGATCCCCAAACCGGCAGAGTGGGATTGTAAGGGGATATATAGAAAGAGAACCTACAAATTCTCAAACTAAGAGGCCATAAGGTAGTGTGATGGTACAGTAGGTACGCTTTCTGATCTCTAAAAATGCATTTATTCTAGACTCTGAAAACATTTCATCTGATTACTGAGCTGGAATATACTTTTGGGAAAATAATACCCTTTAGAAATCAGTCAGAAAAAGCTTATGAAAACAGCACAAAACAAAAAGGTTTTTCTAAGCCAACAACAGTGCTAATCGGTGCTGTGTTCACAGGCAAAGATGTACTTACATATGTGCAGTAAAGAATACATTTTGCAGGGTTAAATGTAGTATCTAATACTTGAAAGGGACTAGGACACTTTAGCAGCACAGAAGATGCTGGATATTAAGAGAAGATAAGAGGAAATTTCATTTTGAAGTTGTATACCTCTTAATTTTGAGCAAATAGGAAGTTGAGAATACCAAGTTAGAATCTGAGCAGCATTATTAAGCAGTTATTTGGATCCACAGCAGGTACTCAAGATTTGAAAGCTTTGGTGGACTTACATATCTGAAAGGGAACAAGGGGTTGGATTTTCTGGCTCCCCTTCATGTTCCCCCGTCACTGACATAACCCAGAGATCTATTACCCTCAGTTAACAAGTACATTAGGAGAAATGTCACAATCAAAGCAAGAATTAAAGCAGATCAAATCAAACGCCACAAAAACTAGGTGGGCCAGATCGTCCACTGGTAGAAATCTGCATAGGTATCTCCATTGACTTGAGTGGAAATACACAAGTTTACATCCACTGAGGATCTGGAGATTAAAGAGGTCTCTGCTGAGTACTAGTTCGGGAGTCTTCTGATTGAGACTCCAGAGGGAGAAGGAACAGAGAGTTTACCTATGGATGAAAGGCTCTACACAGCAGATGCAAAGACAAATGGAGAGCTGTGCCTTTTAGTATTGTACAAATGAACAATTCTTCAGAGGAACAAGACAAATGGTGAAACGTTTACTGATTATTTATTAATCATGGATGTGCTATCTGATGCAGAATATCTACCATTACTGACTAAAGTTAATCCTTTGCCCAGAGAGGCAGATGTCCCAGATTTTTTATTGTTTTACCTGCTTTTTCTCTGTCTTGTTGTAAATCTTCACTTGTAGATAAACTGTAAATATAAGATGTGTTTTTTAAAAAAAAGGAATTAAATCGCCATAAAAAGCATGATACTCAGCTGATCCTACCCTGGAGCTCCATCAGTACTACCCATCTGCATTGTTGCACTGCTTTAAAGATTCAAAGGCCCGTGTTTAAGTGGTTACTTCTTATGCAGGGAATTATGACCCATCTGAGGGAAGGGAGCAGAAGGAGACTCCACCGATTGGAAGGCAAAAGATGCACTGTCCTAGAGATGGGGGTTCCACGACCACCACTCCCAAGAGGAGGAGGAGGGTGGTGGTGGTCGGGGACTCCCTCCTCAGGGGGACTGAGTCATCTATCTGCTGCCCCGACCGGGAAAACCAAGAGGTCTGCTGCTTGCCAGGAGCTAGGATACACGATGTGACGGAGAGACTGCCAAGACTCATCAAGCCCTCGGATCACTACCCCTTCCTGCTTCTCCACGTGGGCACTAATGATACTGCCAAGAATGACCTTGAGCGGATCCCTGCAGACTACGTGGCTCTGGGAAGAAGGACAAAGGAGTTTGAGGCGCAAGTGGTGTTCTCATCCATCCTCCCTGTGCAAGGAAAAGGCCTGGGTAGAGACCATCGAATCGTGGAAGTCAACGAATGGCTACGCAGGTGGTGTCAGAGAGAAGGCTTTGGATTCTTCGACCATGGGATGGTGTTCCAAGAAGGAGGAGTGCTAGGCAGAGACGGGCTCCACCTAACGAAGAGAGGCAAGAGCATCTTCGCAAGCAGGCTGGCTAACCTAGTGAGGAGGGCTTTAAACTAGGTTCACCGGGGGAAGGAGACCAAAGCCCTGAGGTAAGTGGGGAAATGGGATCCTGGGAGGAAGCACAAGCAGGAGAGCGCAAGAGGGGAGGACTCCTGTCTCATACTGAGAAAGAGGGACGCTCGATGGGTTATCTTAAGTGCCTATACACAAATGCAAGAAGCCTGGGAAACAAGCAGGGAGAACCGGAAGTCCTGGCACAGTCAGGGAACTATGATGCGATTGGAATAACAGAGACTTGGTGGGATAACTCACATGAGTGGAGTACTGTCATGGATGGATATAAACTGTTCAGGAAGGACAGGCAGGGCAGAGAAGGTGGGGGAGTTGCGTTGTATGTAAGAGAGGAGTATGACTGCTCAGAGCTCCGGTATGAAACTGCAGAAAAACCTGAGAGTCCCTGGATAAAGTTGAGAAGTGTGAGCAACAAGGGTGATGTCGTGGTCGGAGTCTGCTATAGACCACCAGACCAGGGGGATGAGGTGGACGAGGCTTTCTTCTGGCAACTAGCAGAAATTGCTAGATCGCAGGCCCTGGTTCTCATGGGAGACTTTAATCATCCTGATATCTGCTGGGAGAGCAATACAGCGGTGCACAGACAATCCAGGAAGTTTTTGGAAAGTGTAGGGGACAATTTCCTGGTGCAAGTGCTGGAGGAACCAACTAGGGGCAGAGCTTTTCTTGACCTGCTGCTCACAAACAGGGAAGAATTAGTAGGGGAAGCAAAAGTGGATGGGAACCTGGGAGGCAGTGACCATGAGATGGTCGAGTTCAGGATCCTGACACAAGGAAGAAAGGAGAGCAGCCGAATATGGACCCTGGACTTCAGAAAAGCAGACTTTGACTCCCTCAGGGAACAGATGGGTAGGATCCCCTGGGAGAATAACATGAAGGGCAAAGGGGTCCAGGAGAGCTGGCTGTATTTTAAAGAATCCTTATTGCGGTTGCAGGAACAAACCATCCCGATGTGTAGAAAGAATAGTAAATATGGCAGGTGACCAGCTTGGCTAAACAGTAAAATCCTTGCTGATCTTAAACGCAAAGAAGAAGCTTACAAGAAGTGGAAGATTGGACAAGTGACCAGGGAGGAGTATAAAAATATTGCTCAGGCATGCAGGAGTGAAATCAGGAAGGTCAAATCACACTTGGAGTTGCAGCTAGCAAGAGATGTTAAGAGTAACAAGAAGGGTTTCTTCAGGTATGTTAGCAACAAGAAGAAAGTCAAGGAAAGCGTGGGTCCCTTACTGAATGAGGGAGGCAACCTAGTGACCGAGGATGTGGAAAAAGCTAATGTACTCAATGATTTTTTTGCCTCTGTCTTCATGAACAAGGTCAGCTCCCAGACTGCTGCACTGGGCAACACAGTATGGGGAGAAGGTGACCAGCCCTCTGTGGAGAAAGAAGTGGTTCGGGACTATTTAGAAAAACTGGACGTGCACAAGTCCATGGGGCCGGATGCGCTGCATCCAAGGGTGCTAAAGGAGTTGGCGGATGAGATTGCAGAGCCAATAGCCATTATTTTTGAAAACTCATGGCGATCGGGGGAGGTCCCGGATGACTGGAAAAAGGCTAATGTAGTGCCCATCTTTAAAAAAGGGAAGAAGGAGGATCCGGGGAACTACAGGCCAGTCAGCCTCACCTCAGTCCCTGGAAAAATCATGGAGCAGGTCCTCAAGGAATCAATTATGAAACACTTAGAGGAGAGGAAAGTGATCAGGAACAGTCAGCATGGATTCACCAAGGGGAAGTCATGTCTGACTAACCTAATTGCCTTCTATGATGAGATAACTGGCTCTGTGGATGAGGGGAAAGCAGTGGGTGCGTTATTCCTTGACTTTAGCAAAGCTTTTGATACGGTCTCCCACAGTATTCTTGCTGCCAAGTTAAAGAAGTATGGGCTGGATGAATGGACTGTAAGGTGGATAGAAAGCTGGCTAGATTGTCGGGCTCCACGGGTAGTGATCAATGGCTCCATGTCTAGTTGGCAGCCGGTTTCAAGCGGAGTGCCCCAAGGGTCGGTCCTGGGGCTGGTTTTGTTTAATATTTTTATTAATGATCTGGAGGATGGTGTGGACTGCACTCTCAGCAGGTTTGCAGATGACACTAAACTGGGAGGCGTGGTAGATACACTAGAGGGTAGGGATCGGATACAGAGGGACCTAGACAAATTAGAGGATTGGGCCAAAAGAAACCTGATGAGGTTCAACAAGGACAAGTGCAGAGTCCTGCACTCAGGACGGAAGAATCCCATGCACTGCTACAGACTAAGGACCGAATGGCTAGGTAGCAGTTCTGCAGAAAAGGACCTAGGGGTCACAGTGGACGAGAAGTTGGATATGAGTCAACAGTGTGCTCTTGTTGCCAAGAAGGCTAACGGCATTTTGGGCTGTATAAGTAGGGGCATTGCCAGCAGATCGAGGAAAGTGATCGTTCCCCTTTATTTGACATTGGTGAGGCCTCATCTGGAGTACTGTGTCCAGTTTTGGGCCCCACACTACAAGAAGGATGTGGAAAAATTGGAAAGAGTCCAGCGGAGGGCAACAAAAATGATTAGGGGTCTGGAGCACATGACTTATGAGGAGAGGCTGAGGGAACTGGGATTGTTTAGTCTCCAGAAGAGAAGAATGAGGGGGGATTTGATAGCTGCTTTCAACTACCTGAGGGGGGGGTTCCAAAGAGGATGGAGCTTGGCTATTCTCAGTGGTGGCAGATGACAGAACAAGGAACAATGGTCTCAAGTTGCAGTGGGGGAGGTCTAGGCTGGATATTAGGAAACACTATTTCACTAGGAGGGTGGTGAAGCACTGGAATGCGTTACCTAGGGAGGTGGTGGAGTCTCCTTCCTTGGAGGTTTTTAAGGCCCGGCTTGACAAAGCCCTGGCTGGGATGATTTAGTTGGGAATTGGTCCTGCTTTGAGCAGGGGGTTGGACTAGATGACCTCCTGAGGTCCCTTCCAACCCTGATATTCTATGATTCTATGATTCATTAAATAGCTATGGTAGGGGGATGCAGTTTCATAGAAAAGTACAGCACTAGGCATTCAATGTATATTAGAGCTGCCATGTATGTATGGTGGTGAGGAAAATGTTCCCTGTGCCCAACTTAATTTCTACCAGTACATGCCCCCTCCCCCACTCACCAACATTCAGAGACCTTAATTAAGCACTAAGGGTCCAATCTTGCAGTCCTTGCTACAGGCAAAGACTCTGTTTATGTCCCTGAAAATTTTGCCTAAGTAAAGCTTGCAGTTTATGGCCCTAAATCTATCAAGAACTAAAATTATGGCTTCCCCTTTGCACATGGACTAGTGAGGGAAGAGGTTGAACAAAGCCTTACCCTTTTTAGTGCACCCACACCGGAGGCAGCCATAATCTGGTTCCCACTAGATCCAATATGTGTGGTGGGGTGGTCACTAGCTTGCAATACTGTACTAAATGACCAAGTGGGGCATGGCTGGGTGGCACAGGCTGGGTGACACAGGCCATGGTGATGGTCCTGCCCATGCTAAGCTAGAAGGTGCTGGCATGCTTCCTACATCCTTTTATACTCATCACCATGCCTCCAGACACTGTTCCTAAGGCTGTGCCATTCCTTCTCCCTGGTGCAATTCTGCCTATGAAGAGGCAGAATGTAGTTCTAGCTACTGAAATACCGTATCCACAGTGCTATAGGCTACAACTAAGCAAAATTCAGAATTTATGTCCCATGGGAAATTCCAATATTTGTTTTCATCACAAATTGGATAAAACAGCAAAACCTTATGGAATAAAATATTCTGAAAAATGTTGATTTGGAAATGTTGAAACATTTCATTTTGCCATTTTCTGTAGAAACAAAACATTTCAACAGCCCCGAAACTGAAGTCTGATGCCTCTATTCTTTTCTATAAACCAAACTCCCTCAGCAGAGAACATCTCCCATGATCCACCCAAATCACATGACTCCCATGATGCATCACGCAGTTTGGTCAGAGGGTTATCCATACTGTGTTATTGAAGGTGTAGCCCCCTAAACCATATGAGAGAATGGGAAAGTGCACTACAACTCCCATGAGGCAATGCACCATAATAGGGAAACATAGTTTAATGTTGAATTGATTCAAAACAAAACATTTTGAACACACCTAAAAATCAGATATTTAGTTTTGATTTTTCCAATGGAAAATTAAAAATTTTCAGCAAAATTTCAATTTTCCTGCAGAAAATTTCAATTTTTCAGAAACTGCATTGTCTGTCAGAAAATCATCCCAATGGAAAATTCCTGGCCAGCTCTACTGTTGCTATCACTAAGTGCACAGGCATAATTCGAGGATGCAGGAAATACTTATTCAATAACATGACCAAAACTTACAAGAACCCAGAATCCAGCCAGTGGCGAATATTTTCTTCTTTAGAATCTTCTAAAAATAACAATAAAAAAAAAATATAGGATCATTGGCTACAGTTGCTGATTGGTTTATAGCCCTTTACCATATGACTGAACTGCTTCATTTCCCAGTGCCATTAATCCCAGAATTTGCAAAAGCTATCCAGGGAAAGACTGCCAGTAATTTCATTTCAATAACTTGAGTTCTTTCTAAATGAAGTTCCATTGTGCTAGGCACTATACAAAAACATAGTAAGAGACAGTCCCTGCCCCAAAAATGGTACAATCTAAATGGAGAAGATGAATAAAAGGTAGGAGAAAGGAAGGATTATTATCCCTATTTTACATATGGGGCAACTGAGGCACAGAGAGACAATTATTTAATTGCTAAAAATGCTACAATGAAAATCTGATATGTATTAATGCTTCTTTTTTTTTTTGCTTCTTGATGTTCAGATAAATCATCAGTTTAAAAAATAGCCTAGCTGTCACCACTGAGTCTTTAATTAACTAGGGGATTAGGATTAAAGTTCACTGGAAGAGTATTCCCTGGAAGTTTGTGCGCTGTCAAATGTTAGACACTGCATTCACCAAAATATAAATAAGAGATGGTCAGAAAAATACAACAAAAATAAAATTTTAACAAAACCAGAAATTGGGGTGTGGATTTGTCACTCCCCTGAGAAACATAGTTAAATTGACCTAATTTCCTAGTGTAGACCAGGCCTAAATCAGTTTAAACCTATTCAGTGCAACATGAATGTAAAGAAGGCCTAGGTTTGTTTTGCATCTTTTCCCACTGTGCAGGCACACTAACAGATCAGGGCCTAAAATGGAAACAACAACAAAAAACAAACAAACAAACAAACAAACAAACAAAACCCAACCCCAAAACAACACATACAGATTCAAAGAAACTCATGTTTAATACATCTTACAAATCCTGGTTGTTTCACAATATATCAACCTATAGACAGAGCTCATCCTTTAGCTCAAGTGGGAGAGGCCTGCATTTCCGCAGTGTAAGGTTTGGGGTTAACAAAATAGTTTTAAAATAGTAGATAAAACACTGATACCTCTTTTAGTCAATAAACATCAACCAACCAAAAAATACTCTGAAACAAATCAGCCTTAAAAAGTAAAAGGAGAAGTGCCAGGAACTACATGAATCCCACTATGGACTTTGCTATTCCTCTCAGTTTTACATGGAAGGGGCTCAAATCCTATGGTGATAGCTGACAGTATAAAACCTTAAAATAACTAGAAATGAAATATAGAATAGAGAAGGGACAAGACTGGGGATCGATCTAATGGGAGCAACTGGCAAATATAGCAGTCAGGCAAACTCAACAAAAATAAAAGGACTGCTTTTATTGTACATTCATATACTCCCCACTTAAGGCTCTTTGGTACTAAAAAACTGTGTGACATTCTTGTTTAGAACTTGTATCACCAGAGTTATTAGGCGATAATGCAATAGTATTAATGCTTATTACTGTGTAATTGTTTCCACTGGAGTTTGCATATTGTCTACCATGGAATTATTGTAAAATGACATGATTATTTCAAGGTAGCCATGTGACTATAAGCCTGATCTTACTTCTAGTGCAGTGTGTGCCTTAGTACTCATGTCATTAGTGCAGTCACTACAATGCAAGAAAAATGCCATTATCCTCTGTCATAATAGGCTTTTAAGAATCCAGTAATGCCATTCCCAGGTCTCACCAAGCTGTGAAAGAGGAAGAGGGTTGTCTACTACAGTTGGAGTCAGAGAATCTTCATCCAGGTGAGTCCATGATGCTTTGGCAAATAACAGGATATCCCTCTTGTTCATTTCAAAGGTACTGCTGGTCCCATGACAGTAAGACTCTGAAGCCATCCCAGGGTGCAAGTTTGTGAGCTAAGAAAACAGATACAAAGAAAATCATGTTTAATACATTTAACAAATCCTGGCTGTTTTACACTATAGCAACCTATAGACAGAGCTCATCCTTTAGCTCAAGTGGGAGAGGCCTGCATTTCAGCAGTGAATTTAAGGCACTGGACTGGAATTCAGGATACCTGGGTTCAATGCCTGATTCTACCATAGACTTCCTGTATGAACTTGGGCAAGTCACTTCACCTCTCTGCGTCTCAGCTCCCTGTCTGTAATGTGGATATGTTTGAATTGGAAGGTTTTTGGGGCAGGGACTGTTGCTTACTATGTGTTTGTACAGTGTCCTGTACCATGTGTCCCTGGTCTCAGCTGGTCCCGTAGGGTGCTACTGTAATACAAATTTAAAATATCTTTGCAATGGGCATTGCGGGCACATCTTACTCTCTACCAAGCTTAGCATTGTTCAGCTGTTAACCTTCCACATTTCAGTCCAGCAAATCACCCATTAAGTCTGCAGTAAAAAAAAAAAAAAGTGGTCCTGACTCAACCTTCCAAGTGCTGCCGTTCAATCTGCCCACCGCGCTCCAATGCAGCAACGTTCTAACAAAGATCACTGTCGTCGTGAATCACATTTACAACAAGATTGTTTTTTCAGTGTGTGTGTGATGACAGATGGAGGCCAGACTGCATCAAAGATTTTAAGAGACGAGAGAGGATTAAGCCCCGTAAGAGCAGCTTTTAAGAGCTTTTTTTATCATAAGAGACAGAGAGAAAAGGAGAGGAAGGGGAACATTGGTTAGGTTGTCTCTCTCATTTTTTAAATTAATCTGGAGATTTTTTTTCTTTGTCAATGACAACACTGGCTTGAGAAAGGCACAGTTTAGCAGGCATTGGGAAAGTCTCCCCTCCTCGCTTTGCTAAGGCACTTCATTTCTATCCACAGTCTCCCCCAGGAAATCCAATCTCTTCTCGTGCAGAGAATCTGCCCAGGAAGTGGCATAATAGCCAACAGTGGGGCAGTTTAGTGACACTTATAGTTTCAAAGCCTAAAGATCCCTTTCAAAGCTTGTTCTGTTAGAACTACACATAATAAACCTGGAACTGAATGTAACTGAAAAGGCAGGAGCCTACCCAGCAAAGTGTCTGTAACTAGGGTGTAAAAATCCCTCTGTTGTCTGTCTTTTGTGGATGCTTTCAAGGTAAATGAACTGGGATTCTTAACATCCTTTGAAACCACTTTTTTTTGTTGGCTGAAGCTCATTCATGGAACATTGGCTTACATGACCTGGTCTACCCATTGAGTTCTTTCCTTTTCAAGGTGACTTGGGCACTTCCGAAAGAACTAGAGAGTCAAGTCCTCTATTTATGCAGAGAACAGGCCTAGTACAGACAGTGCCAGCGTGAGCTTCCCCATGCTGTGCTGCCAGTGTGCTCCTACCGTTTCTTGGAGGGAGTCTAGTCCATTCAAACTCCTTTTGTCCAGATTATGGCAGGCAATGGAGAGGGACATAGTGTGGAGGAAAGGAATGGAGAGAGGGAAGAAGAGAACAAAGGAAGCATTTCTCCCACACACTCACACCTTGTGCACAGTCCCAGTCCTGGCACTCTGCGAGGGAAGTAAATTAAACATTCCTCACAGCAAAAAACATTTGGCTCTGTTTCCAAGTGAAGATAATCTGGGGTAATCACACTGGGTACAGAGTGACCTCCCTCTCTCTCTACTTGGAAACATAGCAGTGTCCGGGGGGATACATGTGAGGTCTTCTCTATGTGAGCAGTTTTGGCCAACACATTGCAGGGAGACAAGGGTGAAGGACAGAGCTATGTATGCCTTTCCATCTCTGCTTACCTGCTAGGCAGGGGAAGAGGTGGAGGCAGAGAAGTGGGCATGCAGTGCCCCCTTAGCCCTATACCTACAGGCCCAACCTCCATAGAGGCTGTGCCAGCGTATAAGGCAGGGAGATCTAACTTCTCCTTACACTCATGCAAGGCTACACAGCCTGCCTCGCTATTGAGCCCATCGTGAAGATATGGGACTACAGGAACTACTGCCTGCAAGGAAGTGGAATCTTATGCTTGTCAGGAAAAAAAATGCTTGGAAAGTAGGACACACAAAGGATGTAAATCCACACCTTTTACAATGTGGAGAGGAGATCTCCTTTTTCTCACCATTTTCAGCAGAAACAGAAGGTGAGATGCTGTGACACGGAATGTCTGAGGATGAAGGACAAAAATTCAGATATAGTTTAGTTCAATGTGCCTATTTTCAAGTTTTGTATCTGGGGGCCTGATTCTCCTGCACCTTGTGTTGTCCTTTTTACCTGGGCAAAATGGGTGTAAAATACTACCAAATCCAAACTGGAGTATATTGTACCCATTTCCCCCTGGTGTAAATGACTACACAAGGTGCAGGGCAATAGAGAATCAAGCCTTATATCTGGAAATGTATATAGGTAACTCCCATTAGCCTTAATTATTCTTAGCAACATTAACTTCTTTTCCATGGATAGTGAGTCATAGAGTCATAGAATGAGTCATAGAATATCAGGGTTGGAAGGGACCTCAGGAGGTCATCTAGTCCAACCCCCTGCTCAAAGCAGGACCAATCCCCAGACAGATTTTTACCCCAGTTCCCTAAATGGCCCTCTCAAGGATTGAACTCACAACTCAAGAGCTCCTTTTGATTTCATATTAATTATAAAACATAATGATTAATCTGATAAGATACATCTTTTCAGACAAGAGTGTCCTCTTGATCACAGTTTGGGTGCCAGAGCCACTCATCATCTGTGTGTTTTAATTTAATTGATCTCCAGAAGTAAATTTAGCTCTGCAAATCTGTCGATGAAATGAATGACTGGCTAGTTTCCATGTTCTGTGTGTTTTGTTCATTTGATAAACACATTGGGAACATCTTGGAGGCTCTATTCACAAGGAAGGCAACAAGGTAGAAGTTAAAGACTCTTGTGAATGAGCTATGTACACAGGTTCTTAACTACACAAAGTAAATAAACAAACAAATAAATACATCTGAAATAAGATGTAGACAATTTATGGCAAGTTTTCAGGATGATCAGTCTCAGTTAAAGTTGCCAGCACTTAGCAACCCCATTCTCCTTGCCACTGACAATATTTAAATTATTATTTCACAAAAACAAGTTACTCTGGAACGCCTTTCATCACACCACATTCATCATGGTGTGCGATACGTACACGTTAAAAAACATTTAAAGGAATTAGATAAATACTTGCCAGGTATGAAAACTAGAAATTAGTTGACAAACAGAAACTAATTATTAATGTAAAGATCTCCAAATGGAAAAGTAATGTGCCGGAAGGGTCAGTCACTGGAATGGATATCATTTAATGTTTTTATTAACCATCCAGAGAAAGGATAGAATTCCACAATCATCAAATCAACTGATAACAGTAAAATGGAGAGGTTTGCATAAAACACAGCAGGACAGAAACAAACTACAGGACAAGAGCAACACAGTGGCTTGCACATAATGAAAATCAGTACTGATAAATGTAAAGCTAAGCTCCTAGGAAAGTGACATATATCACACATATACAGATTAGAAGACAGCAGCAAGTCATAGACACTCCAGTTCAGCTAAGCACTTAAGGACAGGCTTAACTTTAAACACATCTGTAATTCCATCTCCATTCAGCAAAGCACTCGAGCATGTTCTTGGGGCCAGAATGATTTATGCATTATAAGAGCAAACTAAGCATACTGTTGCAATCCAACACCATTGTGGAAAAAGCCAATGCTATTTTCAGACATATGTGTTGGGATCGCACAACAAGTTATGTATATCCTGGGATGTGTAAGTGGAATACTATATATAGTTCTAAACTGATCACCTGCATTTAGGAAGGATTAAAAAAAAAAAAAAAAAAAAAAAGAGAGAGAGAAACCCCCACACAAAGATGGCTATTATTTGCTATTATTACTTTGAAAGTATTTATAGAATAGAATCACGGTCATCATCCTGAGTCTTCTCTCTTCTCTATATACCAATATATTAGGTGAATGGAGCACAATATACATAACCTAGTAAAAAAAGAAAGAAGACACAGGATGCACAACGTCCGGAGTAGAAGGGGAGCGACATAGGTTGTAGCATGCACTTTCCTCTACCAAAGCCCTGCCAGCTCCAGGGACGTGAGCACCAGCAGTGACCAGTCCCAGGAGGGTGGGGGGTAAAAAAAGATTTCTTGCACCCTCTTTCTCCTCCCACCCCAGGCACCTGTGCAGAACTGGTCACAATCTAGCCCTAGAGACGGGATCACACTGGAATCTCAAATTCAAGCCTCCCTCTGCCAAATTTGAATTGGAAGAGGGTTTCAGCTTCAAATTTCTGGATTTGAACCCACGATTACAGTTTTGGTTCATATCTAAAGCTGGAAGGGATTCATTTTCTGGAACCTGTTCCCTGTTTGGAGGTGGACCCAGATGGTGGAAATCTTGTGACAACAGCCAATCTACATACACAGTGGAACAATTTTAGAAGGAGAGGCTAAGGGAGCCCCACATCAGAATATCCCTGAGGGGTGGCAGATCCTTGTTCCAATCCATTCTCTCCCTCTGGCAGAGGGGGTATTTGAATCTGGGATCTCTCACATCCCATGTGAGTACCCTAACCACTGGGCTAAAAGTTATGAGGGACGACTCCTCCTTGTTTCCCCCAACCTCCAGGCCATTTTGTGTACGCTCACCTTCAGGGGCCTGATCCAGTAGGTGAGCTCAGAGCACAGTGATCAGGTCTGTCCCACAAGTGAGTTAGGCATAGGAACACCTATCTTCTCTCAGTTTGTGCATCACTCTGGGATTTAGGTGTCTGGATACCTGGTGTGGTCTGCAGTGCACACGCTCAGAGGCAGAAAAGTAGGTGTCTAAGGACTGTTTACTACAAAAATTTAGGCTCAGTGATTTTAGATGCCTACAAGATTCAGGGGCAGCTGAGCAGGGGCTATGCGATTCCCAGTGAGGGCCTGATTCTGTGATTTAGGCACCTAAAGCGGCAGTTAGGTAATATGTCTATTTGTGAACCTAGCCCTCTGTGCCTCGATTTCCCCATGTATACTAAACTATTTTACAGAGACATTGTGAGGCTAAATTAATTGTTTGTTAAGCGTATTGCAATCCCTATGTGATGCTGCTGTAGAAGTGTAAAATATATACTGGGGACTAAAATAATAATAATAATATGAAATAATTCCATGGTATGAAATAGAAAACTTTTTAAAAATACAGCAGTTACTCAAAATGGAAAAAAAGTTCAAATAATGCCTTATTTTTATCATGATTTTGTAGATAAAAATCTGCTGTGAATTACAGGTCACAGTGAAGTCAATGGCAAAACTTCCATTGACTTCAGTAGGGCCAGGATTTCACTCCTGTTCTTATTAAAGTAGAAGTACTAGCGCAATGTAAGACAATTAATGCAGCTCTTTGTGAATGAATTCTGTGACGGAAGCTGAATCATATCATAATGTTAAATTTTAATCATAATGATTTAGCTCTTAATTGAGAAAATGAAGCATAGCAGATGATAAGAACCAACAGCACCTTCCCTCCCCAAAATTTTCCATTTGAAACACAATGTAAAACTGTACAGAGAGAAATAGTTGAATTTTAAACCTCTTTAATATTGTCACAAAAGGGAAAGTTTGAAAATTTAGCACAGAGCTCATCACTCGTGAAACTTGATACAACCTGTTAACTAGAACAACTTATACAAAAGCAACAACCTCAAAGGTCTAGCAATTCATTCCATTTGACCAGATTCCATTGCCTTCATTAATACCATTTCTTGGTCAAACAAGTACAAGCTACAAGGCTGGGAAAAAGCTAAAGAAATCAAGGCTACAGTTCTTTTAACTGGAACGTAAACCAGAAAAATAAAAACAAAACAGCATTTTTTCCATTACATGGGAAGAACAGAAGGCATTTTGTAGTATAATAAAAACAGTTAGCTGCGATCTAACCTGTATTGCTTGCTCCAGCTGTTAATAAAATGGAATTGGTGTCTGGGTGCATCTACATCTGTGCTGTGCTACTCCCTCAAAGACTGAAAAACCAAGATACAGGAACTTGTGCTCATGGGTCGGCTCTCCAGCCCCCATTAAACTAAAAAAACAAAACAAACAAACAAACAAAAAAAAACCAACACGAAGGGCCAAGAAAGGCTGTTTGCCAACAAGTGGTGTTTGAGTTGACAGTTAAGATGGATGATTGTTTGCTTATCCTCCCTGCCAAAGGAAAGTAGGAACAATGTCTAGTCTAGGTTCTAATGATGAGAAGACTTAAAAAAAAAAATCACAGAGTGAAGGGGGGTGTGAGAGAGAACTGAGACAAATAAAAAAAGTAGAAACTGCTTTATTTGCCTTTATTTTTAAGAAATGTATTCCCGTCTCTTTAACACAGTGTAACCCTTTGGCATATGCACAAGGGGAAGGATTACACTTTACTAAGGAAGTAATGCAAACTTGTCTTCATTTGGTTACCATGGATATGGTTCTCTTTGATACAAACCCTCCCATTTGCATTGCAAACAATCACAAGCAATGAAGGACACAGAACTTGATATTCAGGATGCAGAGCACCTGAACGTCCATGTAAAAGCTCACAAGTAAAAAAAGCCAGACCTGTAGACCTGCATTGGTACTTAGAATACAAAGGTTGAAAGAAAGGATTTAGGTTTCAGATTCTTAAGTAACGGGTACATTCGATCGTGCTTAAGACTCTGTAACCAGCAAATGACATTTCTACTGATATCTAGTTTTGAATTGTAGTTTCAGGTTGTTGTTTTTTCCAATTTAGTAGCTACTTGGCACCAAGGTTATATAAATCATTTGATATTTTCAAAGTACTAGATTTCTATCAATACTGGAATGGAAATGAAAGAGGCAAAGTTGTATTTTTATTATTGTTATTTGTTATTGGTATTAACATCATGTCTAGGAGCCCTAGAGACAGACCAAGACCCCAGTGTGCAAGATGCTGTACGAGCTAAAAGAATAAATGCAAAATCCCTTAAACAGAGCTACAGGGATCCAATCTGAATGCATAGTAGCAAATAGCAAAGTGAAAAACTGTGTCATTTGCCCCAAAAAGGAACGGCACATAATTGATTACTAGTAATTCTGTTTATCAACTAAAATGTAGCCATCATTATAGTCATTAAGTCCAGCACATCATTTTT